ATTTAGAAACGAAAAAAAAGCCCATCTTGAAAGACGCATGAATTGGTGGCAAAAAAATGTTTTCAATTTTATGTGTTTTTTAATCAATTTGATATTATTATAATTTCAAAGTGTCAATCGCTTAAGCAAACAGTTTAATATTTCATAGGTGAATATCTGTGTTGTAAAACAGCAAAGAAATGACTGAAAGGAACTGGATTTGTCATAATGAGGGAGGAGGGCTTATGTAGTTTTGTAACGTATTCCAGCTCTTTATGATCTCTGTGCTACTAAAAAGCTTTCAGTCTACCCTCGTGAAAGTTGACAATATGTTCATTCTTAATCTGTCAAAATAGATATTTCAATGTAAAAATATAGTCTAGTTATTTTAGACCAGTCTTTGACTGCAGAGGCAAATTAAAAGACCAAAGGAGTTGACATTTAAGCAAAACAGGCATATTTTAGAATATATAGCTTTGTGTATTTTTCTGTACTGGTCAGTTATTCAAATTGAGCTGTTTACAGTGATTTTAATGAATACAGGTGTAAAAATGGCACGACAGATTTACATTCCCCATTCCCCATTGTATAGTCTAAATCAATGCCTGTTTGGTATTTTACTACAATTTATTCCACACAGTATGAAGCCTAAAGGAAGGAATTCTTAAAAAAATATATCTCTCTGTGCTCATGTCAAGACATCCTTTGTTAAGCTAATGTCAAGGGGCTAAGAGACCCGTTGAGCTTGATGCATCTCACAGATTGCTTTGTACTGGAAAAAAATAAAAATCTATTCATTGGTTTTTGCACTCAGTGGGAGAGATTGCACTGGATGCTTTTAAACTCAGCCAAATACTTCTATATCAGAAGTGTGTTTAAACAGCATTTGCAATTCCCCCCAATTTGAGCTTTGCCCTAAAGCAAACAAGGTGCCCTTTTAGATCCCTGAAAATTTAAAGCACTAAATGAATGCCAGAGAGTAGAAGAATATTTAAGGAACACATAACTTGAATGTGATTAAACTCTTAAAGCAAAGATGAAATGAAAATGAGAAATCAGTTCAATCAGTAGGACTCTTGTGCTAAAAAGGTTCCTTCTGAGCCACAAAGTTACGGCATTGGGTTCTATGTTTGGAACATTTTCTTTTAGTAACAATTGCTGCTATTACAGAGTAGTAAGATCTGGGCCTGAGTAAGTATTTCAAGAGTAATCTTCAATATAAAAGCACAAAATATGGGATTTATAGGTTTATATAAATCAACAGGTTTACAGGTTTATATGATCAAGTTCCTTTGTATATTTTCAGTGTGTTTAATCAAATTAATTAAATCTGATATTTGTTTTTGTGGTTGTCTGCTATACAGGAGTGGAAGTGTTAGCGGACTGACACTGAAACTGATCCGAACCTCCGTCATTGAGATGCTAGAAACTTTATCTGATGATGACTTTGTGAATGTAGTTTCAGTGAGTATCAATTCTTTCAATAACTGGCACTGGCAGGCTCCCTGCAACATATTGGAGACTGAACGGTATCTTAGGCATGGACCCACAGCAGTACCAAACTGCCAAATCTGATATAAAGTGTTTTATATTGTACAAACATAATTAAATAAATGAAAAACACTGCAGCATTCATATACATGGATTTGAAATTAGGAGTTGGTTGCAATCACAGCACCATTAATTTACCGTGGTCTAAACTAAGTTATTTACCCTGTAATAATTTCTTGGTCTTTATTAAAAATTATTTTTTTCTTCTGTAAATGCTGATTCCACTGAGATCATTGGTAATTAGCAGCCTTTATAGTGCAATATATGAGAGAGTCTCATTGGAGATAGAACACTAATACAAGAATAAGAGGATTGCTTCTTCACTGCCCTTCACATAGTGTAGTCATGTACACTCGCACATAATGGGCCAAACTGCCTGTTGGTGTATAGTTACATGAAGTTAATTAGTTATTGGTCTGGAAAAGGGGTGAATAGTGAGGTGTCAGTATTTGCTTTAACTAAAATAATGTCATATTTGAGACTGGAGAAGGCTACACTGAGACCTAATCATGCAAAGTGAATAGACAGCTGGTCAGAAGAAGAAATAAAGAGTTTGTAAATACAAAATTAATACACTTTGGACTGAACGTAATTGGAATTATTTGTATATTACACTAATTACATCCATTCAGGAAAAGGACTTGGGTCATTTTGGAAAGCTCAGTCAAGACCTCTGCCCATTGTGCAGCAGCATTCAGACAAGCAGAATATATTAGGATGCATAAGGAATGGCATGGAGAATAAAAGAAAAAATATTTAGAAAAAAGAGAAAATATTTATGCCATTTATACCCTTACATCAAATGGGCATTATGTGTATTCATTAGGCACACTGCAT